CTTCCTTCGGTTGTATAAGCACCACGATCCGGTTTGTCTCGGTCGGTCCTCCGTCTTGTGCCTCCTTGAGCATCCTTTGAATGGCTTGCGTGAGCTCCTTTGGTTTGGCTCTCGTGACCGGTCCTTGTAGTAGCTATATTGCGCTTGAGTCATCCCGAACCTCGGTGTCACCGTCTTGGATCATATCATCTTAAGTCGGCTAGGTCTGCTTCGGGCAAAAACATATTTTTGGTCGAAACTGAGGCAATACCGGCCACAATAACGGTCGGGTTGCGTGACCAGTATTTGAGGCTTCTATGGTGCTTCTAGAAGGTGGGAAAAGGTCTGGATCACCGGCCCATGGGCGTCCCGGTGCTTGGCTCCTTTGTGCACTCACTTCACTTCGAAGGCAGTTTGACATGTCCTTAGTGTTTCCAGTGTATCTTCTAAAGTACCACTCCAATTGATAAAATTCCAACTCCATTGGAAATCTAACTCAAAGGGCTATCTTCATACCAAGTTTCATTAAATTTACAATTGATTTGATCCTCCGTTCATCAGCAAACTTCTGACGTATACGTTCTGTCCAGTTTGAGAATATGCATTATCTTCAAGATAAAACGACTTGGCTTGGTTTCTTTGACTTGAATGAGTAGCTGCATCATAGATAACACTCCTTTTGATCCATTTTACATCCTTCTGATGATAAAACCTGTTAAGACCTTAAAATCTACAAATACGAGAAAACTACCTCTTTTGGTCGAAAAACTTTATTAATATATGTAAAAACCATAGTAAAATAGATAGTTAAAGTGGTAAAATATAGGGTATATCAGTTAGTCTTTCTATCTTTCAGCTTCCTGGACTATTTCTCTGGTGACGGGTATAGCTTTGCCAATGCAAGACTCAATTCCTAGACATCCTAATATGAAATGTGATCCGGGCCATAAACCCTCGATGGACCTCTTTCCCACAATCACCAAACAACAAGTCACCCGGAATACCCTTAGCGCATGTATCCTAACAAATAGCTCAAAGTGAATAGGACTAGATAACTCGTCAAGATCCTAGACCTTATCAAGCTATCTGCCTGACTTCACCTACGAGTCCATAGTCAGACCTTTCGTGGTCCGACCGGATGCTCTGCCAC